TGTCAGAGAAGAAAGACTGTTGTGCGTTTTTCAATTCCAAATTATAAAGGCCAAGTCTCTCTTTATAGATTTCAAAGTGAACCTGGAGATTTGTTTTTCGCCACCTGCGTTCAGCTTTTCGACACTCTCTTTTTTCTGTTCTCACGGTCATGGCCTTTCTCCATGGAGATATTTTCTTGCCAATCACTTCCTTTACCTTAGTTGGAGCAATGGTATCTATAACATTTTTAATTTTTGAATTAAAATGATCTACTAGCTCATTTACTGAGATGTTAGCAGGGGCAAGTGTGGATGAAAAATTATGAGTAAACATTTCCCTAGTATTTTCAGTTAAATATCGCTTTGTGGTTACCTCTTTCTGAACATTTTTGTGAACCGAAATAGAGCTCTCAAAGAAAACACAGGAATGATCAGAGAGTGCAACATCAGTCACCACAACCTTTGAGATATTCAGACCCTTTGAGATAATTAAGTCCAGAGTGTGCCCCTTATTGTGCGTGGGCTCCGCCACATGCTGAGTCAGTCCATAGTTATCAAGAACACAAAACAGTTCTTTAGCCCCTCTGTCCTGGGGGTTGTCAACATGGATGTTAAAATCACCAACAATGACTAGACGGTCAAAGTCAATACACACTATAGACAGCAGTTCAGTAAAATCATCAAAAAAGCTTGCACAGTATTTGGGTGGTCTACAACACCACTACAACATAAGGTTGTAACAGTCTTACACAGAGAGAGAACGATATACAAATTTAAAAGCGTCAGTGGAGTGAAATTAATTGTGGGTGGATTGTGTTACTGTTGGCAAAACAATTTTCCTCAGAATATTTATTGTAACATATAATCAGCTTTTGAGATAATGTTTAACCATGATCAAGATTGTTTCAGGTTATTGTCACACCCTTGACAAACGGGTCTGCTATTCTTGGAAAGCAGAGGGCAGACCTTAAAGTAGTTGTAACAAAGGATTGGACCGTGATTTATATTTGGACTTTAAACCAAATAGATATGCCATTATAGAGAAAAAAGGGTAAAGAGTTGTTTGGCATCATTAAAACCTTTCAGGAAAGAATTAAAAGATCAGGAATCAAACTAAAGATCAGCACACTTCATTAAAAGCTTCCAGCTATTTTTACTGTGCAACATTTCAATCTAACAGAGATTTAAATGCCAGACAAAGGTATCTGATAGATCAAATGTGAACAGTTACAGTTGCTGGGAGATTAAATATGTGCAGATCTTTTGTCTGGTTCCTGCAGAGTCTTGTGCGGCAAGTACAAAGTGGAAATCATCATTAATTACTCATAGCACAAATATCCGATTTGATATTTGCTCTTTGATACACCTGTATGGGTCAACTGGAGCTTCTGATTTTGTGTGATTGACCAAATGATCTCATACAAATTCTAATTAGACCAATGCAACATACAATCTTATTATTTATAATTCCAGGGACACATTTAGCGGATTTGATATAAGCAATAAAAGTACCCCTCAGGAAAAATATAAGATGACCGCTCACCCTAATATTTTATGGAGTAGGTGCAGACACACACTCAGGTCAATAGGTCATCGTTATAAATTCTGAGACAGAGCTAAACGTTATGTTGGAACTGAAAAAAGCTATATTTTGACACGTATCTAAGCTAACATGTTGACATACTGTAGATGTAGATCGTACTTTATGTTTATTTGGCGCAAAGTGGACAGTAGGCTATACAGTAGGCCTGTTTCATTGTGTAACTCTTTTTTTTTTATCCAGGAACTGTATGTGGCCTGTTGTTGCGACCTGGCTCAAAAGGCCACAACAAAGAGGAGACACAACATGTTCACGGGTAGAAAAAGATGTTTATTTAAACAAGTAGTTCAAATTAACCAAATTAATCAAGTGCAAAACTAACATAAGGCATGAGGTGTGAATATCAGTGGTATCAGTCGTGTAAATGCAGGGTGAGGATTGTATGGACATGTATGTGTGAGAGTGTTGAAGTGCACAAAGTGAAACAACTAAGAAAACTCATAACATACTCAACAAAACCGGAGGCCTGTACTACGAAGTTGGTTCAACCTAACCTGGATATAATAATAATAATAATAATAATAAATTCAATTTATAAAGCACCTTTCATTGCTAGCAGCAATCCCAAGGTGCTACAGGAGGCATAATAAAAACAAACAAAAGTTTTAATCAAAAGCTTTTTTTTAAAGAAAGGTTTTTAGGGCTTTCTTGAAGGCGTCAGTGGTCTGTGGAGTCCTCAGGTGGTCTGGGAGGGAATTCCACAGGCGAGGAGCAGCTGCACAGAATGCCCGATCCCCCATTGTGCGTAGTTTGGTCCTGGGGGGGCGAAGCAGATGGTTGGTTGTGGAGCGGAGGTTGCGTGTGGAGGTTTGAGATGTGAGAAGTTCCTTCAGGTATGGAGGAGCGTTCCCGTGGATGCATTGATGGGTCAGTAGTGCGATCTTGTAGTCGATCCTGAATGAGACAGGACGCCAGTGGAGGGAATGAAGAACGGGTGTGATGTGGTTGTATTTTCTCACCCTCATCAGGATCCTAGCGGCACTGTTCTGTACATATTGGAGCTTCTGAAGGCTCCCGCTAGGAGTCCCGATGAGGAGAGCGTTGCAGTAATCGAGCCTTGAGGAGACGAAGGCATGGACCAGTTGTTCTGCATCTGACAGGGAGAGTGTGGGACGGAGTTTAGCATATGTTTGAGTTAGCCGGTTGGCCCAATCCAAAACATACGCGCTCTCGCTAAGCTGCACTACGACGCTGGTTATCAAGTGGATCGCTCAAGCCAGCCGTGTCCTATCTAGTTAGGTGCGCGTTCACATGAAAGGGGTGGTATTTGGAGCATTCGACCAATCTCAAACATGGACAAGCGTACTGACAGCGAAGCGTCATACTTCCTGAATGAGAAGTGAACTTTAATATTAGTCAAATATGAAGAAGTTAAACTTTAAACATCCATGACTTAAACACTTTATCCAGGATAAAAGACACATAGCTGCACCTGCAAGGTGAATACAGCTGGTAAAAGAAAAAGCGTTTGAATGCGTACATTAACAGGTTTATGATATCACTGCCCCGTCCAAGACACGAGTGGATCTGACTTTAATTACATTTGAGTAAGTGAGGTGCCTGCAGGGAGGAGCAGAGAGAGACCGAGGTTGCGGTCGAATAATCCAAAAATCAGCTCCTAAATTCTAACCCTATCGTCTATTCCTTGACCTCTGAGTGAAACGTCATGGGGTTAAGGGATAGTGGATAGGAGAATTCAAAAGGATTTAGGAGAAGAGACTGCGGTACTTTAGAGAATCCGACTGCACTTTCACTATCCGACGTGTTTAAGATGCGCCAGCGGACGTCACAAATGTGCGTCTGCTGCTGTGGGGAAACTATGGAAACTACAGTTTTCTATACAGCGGACTACAACATGGATGTTTAATAAGAACGAGGGACTACTGTAATCTCATCTAGAGACTCTGCACCGTGCTCTGATGCTGTTGTTTTATGCTTTCTGAACGGGGACAACAGAGAAACATATTCTTCATGACCAAAGTTGGAATTGAAATAAAAAAGGAAAGTGAAACTTATGCTCGTCACCCTCTCCCTCCGGTCCACATTAATACAAATGATCCCAATAAGTATGATTGTATGAAAAGATCTTAAAATCAATACAAATGTATTTATTATAAACGTTAGTCCTTAACATCTATCACTGTGTATATCACCATTCAAACATCTTTTAAAAGACCCCACACAGCTCAGTTAAGACTGTGAAATGTTGACTTTATTTGATCATTTCAGTAAAAACTAACGTTCATATTTCTCTTTTTGATTATAATACTGATGAACGTTCAAAACAAAGCACTTTGGCAACTTACCACATACCTTTTAAAATGTTTAATAAGCACCGTAACTTTCATGATATCATTTCTCGTTCATAATCGGTTGTTTCCGTGAACGGCCGACTGTTGTGTGACGGCAAATGCCGCGGCCGCAAGGCATTGTGGGGCAGCATTTTCTCCTCTCCTTTCGGTTAGGGAGGTCCAGTGGTTCCTAAGCTAAAGGAGGTTATAAAGGAAGTTTGAAACCTCCTTTCCTTTCATTTAGAGAATTCGAACGGCACTTATCATGGCTGCCACTGAGGGACTTCCGGGTCATTTCACTCCGTTACCCCTAGATTCCACCTGGTCCGTCTGCGCCGCGCAGTTTTTGTTGATTTGGGCATATTTCCTGGACAGGCTACTTTGTACAGACAAAGTTAATAATAACTGTAATATTCCAGTTATAAACGACATGAATCAAAGATGTGTTGCTGTATTTTAGTGGCAAAAAAATGCATTCGTCATCATAATTATTCTATATATATATAATTTACACAGTGCCAGTAAACCGGAGGAGAACGCTGGCATTTCTCCTCCTACTTGAAAGACTACGGAGGGATAGGGTCTGCAAAATTAGTTTGTGTGTGTGTATATATATAGGTCTATATAGCTCTGAACGTTCCACTTCCTGCCTGCCCGACCTTACGTTACGGCTGCGCCGCGACAAAAATAGGATTCGATCCTAATTTTAGAAAAGCCCTGCGCCGAGCCGCTTCTGGGACGCTTCTGGGACGCGTCTGAGCCGTAACGCGCCGCGTGTGGTGGAATAGCACCCATTGACTAGAGTGGCCGCGATCACCTTGAGCACCGCGGCGCAGCCGTAACGCGTCCGTAACGCGCCGCAGACGGACCCGGTGGAATCTAGGGGTAAAGGTTCCTAATATCTATAAGCTAAATGGACTATTCGACCGCAACCAGAGAGGAGCAAAGAGGCTTTAAATAGCTCCAGGGCACCAGACCCAGGTGTCCTGAATCACTGCAATCAGTGCAGCCACACCTTCTCCACTGATGATCCCACAGGGGCATCACACCTGTTAATCTTCTCAATATCGGTTAATTAGGAAAACCGCAGCCAACACTGAATACAGCAGGTGATGGGTGGGATGGTTTAGAAGCTGTAACAAAACCACTGCCACTTCAAAATCCTTCCACTTAGTGTGCAAGGAGCAAAAAGCCAACACAAACAACATGACTGACTATGAGGTTGCAACTGCCTTTCTCGGGGAATGGGGACATTTCCAGCAGCAGGTGTTTTTCCTACTCTGTCTCACCGTCATCCCTAACGGTTTCACCGGCATGTTCATCGTCTTCGTCGCCGACACTCCGCCCCACCGCTGCGTCATTCCCGCAAACGTGAACCTGACGGCGGCGTGGAGGAACCGCAGCATCCCGCTGGAGCTGGACAGCAACAGCGGCGCGTTGGTGCCCAGCAAGTGCTCCAGATACAGGCTGGGAGATGTGCTGAGTTTCTCGGACAGAGGCTTTCTGCCCGGGGTCGATGTTAACATGTCTAATGTGCCGACTGAGAGCTGCTTGGATGGGTGGGAGTATGACCAAAGCGTGTACATTTCTACCATCATAACGGAGGTTTGTGCACAGGTCTGCGTATAGCTTCTGGGATGCAGCTGACACTGAGATGACGCATGAGAAATGTATATGATATTCATACAGGAAGTATAAGCAGAGGTGGAAAAGGTTCTCAGATCTTGTACTTGAGTGAAAGAACCGGAGTGTGTAGGATAACTACAAGAACATTCCTTCATTTGAAATGTAACTGAAGTAAAAGTACAAAAATAATAAGCTTCAAAATATACTTAAGGTGGTACCTACTCATTATGCAGATTGGCCCATCCCAGAATAATATGTATCATATGTTTTCATTATAATTATTGATACATTAAAGTGTTATCAAAGCTGGTACAGTTACAGCTAGTTGTAATTACTCTGTATACTGCAAGGTAGCTTTTGTATTTACTCCAATTGTAACTCAATTATAAATTATTTCACATTATTAATGAAAATCTGCGTAGTAACTAAAGGTATTAAATAAATGTAGTCGAGTGAAAGTAGCCTACAATATTTACTGTCGAATTGTAGTGAAGTACGAGTACGACGTAGCATACAATTGTCAAATTCTCAACATTTTACTCAAGTACAGTAGCCTACTTAGTAATTTAGAGTTTTTAAATTAAGTGCGAAAACTACATTTCATCTTGATGTTGCAATAGATTCAGAGATATTTTCAACATCTACACAAGAAATTGCCTCACATATAACATTAATTGTTCAGCCACCAAGTTATCAATCATTGGGAAACTAAAACAATAATGTATTACATTTTCAAAGATGTGTCTAATATTTGTTCCACTCTCGTTAGGTGCATATTTAGACATAATAAAGAAAACACTTTTTATTTCCAGTAATAACAAATAAATAAGCCATTAGGTTATAATTGTTAAAAAAAGCCAACATTTCAAATTTCTGCAAAGTAAGTTTATTTTGATATAACTATGATAATTGTTATGATTATACATACACATACAAATGCACTCCTGTGGTACTTTTTAGACAGTTTTTCGTTAAGAAATTGCTACTTTTTGTGTGCGTGTGTGTGTTTGCAGTGGGACCTGGTGTGTGACGACAGGTGGAAGAACCCGCTAACTTCTTCCATCTTCTTCTGTGGTGTTCTCACTGGCTCCTTCGTTTCGGGGCAGCTCTCTGACAGGTGATGAAGGATTAACTTTAGTTTTTCAAAACGTTAATCACTAAGTAAGCACTTATTGTAACAAATGATCTGCCAAGTCAAATTTCCAACAGCAACAAGTGTGCCCCACTGTCAATGAATAGATGTTTTAATGATATTAATGTTACAATGATATTCTCGTACTCAAACAACTCAACAAGAACCTACTTCTCTTTTTTTAGCCGTCAGTGCTGATCAAAGTCTGACAGTTCACTAAATGGAAAAAAAAGTAGTAAAAAATGAAGCCGCATCAGTAAAGCATTTTCCCAACTGTCATGTGTTGACCTTCTCACAAATGCTGACTCTCGGCTAAATGTTTAACTTCAACAGCTATGCAAACTCTGGTAAACAAGTTCTACTACTGTGTTGTACTTACTGGATTTTTCAGTGTTTTGTCGACTTCAGTGAATCATACTATACAGTAGATTTGAGGGTTCCATTGGTTGACCTTTGCATCTACTTACATGGTCATTTACCTGTGCTTTGCATCATTTTTAGGTATGGGAGAAAAATAGTGTTGTTTGTTACCATGGCAGTCCAGACAGTGTTCACATTCATCATGGTCTTCGCTCCATCCTGGCCCGTGTTCTGTGCCCTGTTCTTTATTGTCGGGATGGCAACAATCTCTAATTATGTGGCTGCGTTTGTGCTAGGTACTTTTGTTTGCCTCTATTCGATGATTTCAGGTGTATTTAGTTGCTAACTTGTCCATGAAAAATAATGTGTCATTCATTGCCTGTGCTTTGAATCTCCCCCCTTTTCTCCTGTGCTTCAGGGACAGAGATATTGAGCCCAAAAGTTCGGACAATTTATTCCACCGCAGGTGTGAGTCTTTTCTTTGCTGCAGGCTACATGTTCCTGCCACTGTTAGCCTACTTTTTGAGAGACTGGAGGATGCTTCTCCTAGGCCTCACCCTGCCTGGCTTCCTCTATGTGCCTCTCTGGTGGTAGGTAGGTGTGTGTTTGCTTGAATGTGTGGGGTTCTTATTTTTCTAGTTGATTTTATCTCTGGCTGTGTTTCATTTCAAGTGTTTTATTTTCTACAGTGTTGAGTGGTGTATAAAGTACAGCGTTGCTTTAAGTATTACGTTCATGAAGGTCAATCAATTAATCAACATAGTTCCTGTCAAAAGCTAAACAGATTTTTTTTTTAAAGCTGAAAGAATTTGCCTATTAATCACGTAGTTGATAAACATAATAAATACAGTCCTTCTTTGATAATAACATATAAATTGTATAGGGCTGTGGTGTTGTGACATTAAACTTGTGACGATGACATTATGACAAATAATTTTTAATGTATTTGTTATCATATTAAAATGCATGCATAATTTTCGGATTAGGTATACATTTAAGAAAAAGTGTCATACATAGATATGGTCACTATATTCACAATGTAATAACAGTAACAGCATTGCAACAGCATCAGCCTTTTTCAACTTTATCAAGGTTGAGGTTAGGTATGTTTTACTTTTATGGAGGATCATTTGAGCAGTCAAAGGACTCGGAATAAGGTAAAATAATTTTCTCTCTTCTGGGGGGATTCAACATCTGTCTCTCTCTCTGTTGTGTACTGAGGCAGGTTCATCCCAGAGTCTCCTCGCTGGCTGCTGTCTCGGGGCAGAGTGGAGGAGGCAGAGGCCATAGTGAGAGATGCTGCTAAAAAGAACAAAATCAAGCCTCCGCCGGTCATCTTTAGTCCTTTGCAGGTGAGATCTCACTGAAAAAAAACTGTTCATGTAAATGCATAAAAACTGGGCACAGGGCATTTTCCTAATATGATAAGCCAGTATCATATTTGTTTACTCTTACTATACTCTTGCAGAGTTTACTTAAAAGTGTTAGAACATCCTTAATGGTTCACTGCCTGTGATGTAATAATTTACAGTTTTCCGGTAAACATTATGGAGCAACATTTTCTGCCGGTATGAACCCAAAGATTGTTTCACTTTTCTTTTCTTTTTTGGAATACTTAAAACTTTTGTAAAAATGTACTCAAAAGATGTTGTGTTGGGTTGTTAATTATCAACAATTTAGGAACTGGACAACCTCAGAAAAAACTGTCAACACTACAACACTCACATTAAGAAATATGATCACACTGCCAATCACTATATGATTTGTATTTTTAGAGAATTATGACTAAGGGGAGATAACAAATAGGACATGTTACAATTTAAACATAAACTGGAGAAATCTGTTTGCTTTACCTCTACTCCTAATTACTACAAGAATCCCCCCCCCCCCCAGTCTTCATTGCACATTTAACTTTTGCCTTTAATCCTGATCCAGACGTTTGGGTACTACATGTGTGAACACGTGCACATGCATGTGTGAACACGTGCACATGCATGTGTTCACTCAGCAAGTGGCCATTCATACACAAGCATCTCTCTAATGAAATTATTTCTAGAGCGATGCCTCTGCTTGCTAAGTGTTTGTTATTCTGAGGGCTCTGCTGCCCTACAGAAAGAACTTCAATGCGAGAGTAAGGCCCTCAACATCTGTGACCTGCTCCGTTCCCCAAACATCCGCTGGATCTCCCTCACGCTGTGGCTGGTCTGGTGAGTCCCTGCTGACCCCCACATTCAGTACAGTGACCCTGCATGCACAAATACACACACACACAGACATATACTGAACACATGCTGTTCCAAACGCACATACACTGTTCAGGCCCAATGACAGTCCATTGAACTAACAACAAATAATGACCTGTCAGGTGCTGTGAAGCCTGCAACTCAGATCAAAATCAGGTTTCATAACTGCACAGTATGCCTGTATTAATCCTGTGCTCACTTCCTTACTGAAAACCGATGCAGTTTGATTTAGAAACAGTTTAACTTAGTCTGACGGGAAATAAGTCGTAACCTCCATATCCTTCATCATAGCAGGTTGATAAGTTACAAGCAGCATGGACATTCTTTCTAAAAGAAACACTTTCTAATCCAAATAAGAATCATGAACTAACATTTCAGTTTTTGTATCAGTCATCACCATAGACTGTATCACACCTCAAGTGGCTTATAAGGGCCATTGTAATTACGTTTGAAAAATAAATCAACGCTGGGAATGGGTTGGTAATATTTAGTGGCCCCAATTTGCTGTGGTACATTTGTGAAACACTAGATGAGAATTTCTAGAAAAGGAACACCAATAATATGAGTTTAATTTGTTTTCTGACTACGCTGTTGTGTCATGCCTGAGAGCTACTAACTAAAAACATATTCTAAATTGATATTAATGTTTAAAATGTATCCCCACAGGAACACCTTGACCATTGCTTACTTTGCTCTTTCCCTAAACACGGCAAACCTTCACGGTAACGCTTACTTCAACTGTTTCGTGTCGGCTTTGGTTGAGATACCAGCCTACACTTTGTCTTGGGTAATGTTTCGCTGGTGGTCCAGACGACTGAGTCTCTCATCAACCCTCTTCATGGGAGGATTGTTTCTACTCTCCGTACAGCTCATGCCAGCAAGTATGACCCTTAGAGGAAGCACTTTTTATTAATAAAGCTTTGTGCCTTTTGTTATTTGTTTGTCTATGTAGGATCACTCATTATATAGTATTTTCAGATGCAAAATGTGTCTGATTTCTCAATTGCAAGCAAACATAATTGCAGATAATTGAATTTGCATCTTATATAACTCAACTTACATGTAACCTCTGATTGAATGCTTTACCCGCTCTAGACCTGGTTTATCTCTCCATAACACTGGAGATGATGGGGAAGTGTGCGGTGACGACAGCATTTGCTATTGTGTACGCATACACAGCTGAACTCTACCCAACAGTGTTGAGGAATACGGCCTTGGGGGCCTGCTCCATGGCCTCCAGAATAGGCAGCATCATTGCCCCATACTTCATTTACTTAAGTAAGGAGGCTCTCACCTCTGCCTTATTTTACACTTCTCACATTTTCCTAAGCATATAATTATTTGGATGCACAAAGCTGTTTCTTACCCAACTGACCTCTTGTTAGAACAAGCTGGTGCCTCCACTGAAACAAAACAGAACAAAAGTCACAAGAACAAAGAATCTAAAAGCAGGCTTGATTAGCAACCACATCGGATAGACCATTATGCTGAAAACCTAACTCTTTCTCTTCAAATTTAGAGGCTTCTATTTAAAGATTTGATTTAAAGTACTGATGCAGATACAATCCTTACAGTCGCTATACCTTTTGTCTTTTTGTTGTTTTTATTTGCTGTGGCCATGGTCGTTTTTCACTGTCTCCTTCTTTGATGTGCTGCCACAGGAAGCTATTCCGTTTCACTGCCTTACATCCTTATGGGAAGCATTACAGTTGCTTCCGGGTTGCTGAGCCTCCTGCTGCCCGAGAGCTATGGAATGCCTCTGCCTGACACCATCAGTCACATGCAACACTTCCCCGGGTAAAACTGCACCTTCCTGTCACCAAATCTCCCAGAAATCATTGATATTATTTATTAAAAATAATCATTTGTATTTTAATTACAATTAACATAAAAATTGACTGGATTTGGTTTTCTAATTTTCTTTTTTTAAAAGCAAATATGTTCTTGGCTCAAAACTCATTTGTCTACAGGCATTACAAGTAAATCAAAAGAAAGAAACATGGCTAACTGTATGCTTTAAATCTGAAATATATATTTGTATGTGAATGAAAGACAGAAAATACAATTAAATAGATAAGAAAACAAAAACATATGGCCTCCATAAATAAATAATAAAAACAGTTCAAATAATTTATTTACTACAAATAATAATAAATTACAATTCATCAGATTCATAATAAAGAGGATTATATATTAACATATTAAAGGTGGGGTATGTAATTTATTTCAGAAATACTTTTTGTTATATTCCATGGAATGCTCTTAAAGGTGGGGTAGGTACGTTTGAGAAACCGGCTCGAGATCGCTAGAATTTGAAAATACACAACCGGAGAAAATCTGCTACTTCCTTATAGAGCCCCTCCTCCAACACACATGAACGCGCACATGACCAATGAGGGCACGAGATAAGTTTGTGCACAGATGGAAGGTTGACAGGCAGGTAGGCCATCCAGTTATTTTAGCCGGGCCGTCAAAGCACTTAAGATATTCATTGCTATCGGGATGTTAAGAGCATTCCATGGAATATAACAAAAAGTGTATGTATCTCGAGCCGGTTTCTCAAATTTACCTACCCCACCTTTAAGCTGGATTAAAACTTGATGGCAAACATTATAAAAAAGCAGGCTAGGATATGTCCTCATATTGCCACCATATAACTTCCACTTGGTAATTTCCTTTTCTTGTGCCTTCAAGAATGATCTTTTCACGTTATCAATTGCTTTTATAAAAAAGAAAAAAGGCAGAATAGTCTAGGTCTGTATTCTAGCAAAATTATAATTGTCCCTGCTTTATTCCTGCACTCGGCTTCAACCCACCAGGGACATTTATTACAGAAACTAAAAATGATATACTCACCACAGCCATAATTATATGTGACCAGATGAAGGCAAACGACACACTATAGCAAAGCCAGCTTAACATGAAGAATCACTTAAACATTTTATGAAATACGCTTCTTTATTTTCTGACAGTCTGATGAGAAGATCAATACCAGAAGGCAAATATATGTATTTCCAAATGATATAGATATTATAATTATATTGCTCAGACTTAGCAAATTAGTCTTTAAATAAACAAAAATCTTGGCAGTGATTGTGTTTTTTTTTATGATATTTTAACTTTGTGTCACATAGTAGTGTCAGTCATTGCTTAACAGTGCTTGACTTAACTGCACTTTAATTAGAAACTAAACTGCACCTCTGGTAGGTCATAAGTAAGCCAGTCACACAAACTCAACACATTACATTAAACGTGTGTGGTAATTCACACACAGTGCATTCAGGCCTCAAAAGCACTGTTCAGTATCTGTGAACCATTACCGCATCTGAATCAATGTTTTCTTTATTAACCCTAGATGTTGTAAGAAGAAACCCTATAAACTCACAAACACTGAAGAAAAGGAAAAGGTTGCAGAAGGGAAGTCTCCAGTTTTCCCTTGAACAAGGAGCCTCACTGTTATCTGCCTGAAGCAAAAACTGGATAACCATCTTATCTCCTTCCACTTATAATACCTGAGAATAATAATCATTTATGTCACTAGATTAGTGAAAGCATTTGACTTCAACTGCACCATGGAGTTTGACAGTTATTCAAACAACACAATTGTGTTGTTTTTTTAGAATTAGCACCAAACACTCATGTTGCAAAGCACATCCATGTTAATATGTTGTATACTGTATATCTATGTGATTTGTGATAACATTCATAAAGTGCATGTACAAATACTCAAATGTATTGGTCGAGCTTTAATTGCTTCAAAGTTACTCCTCACAAAAAATGTAATTAAATCGATTTATACAGATTGCAATTACCAGAAGGTAATGTTGATTAGGAACAACAGTAACCGGTATGCATTGTATACAATTAATAGTACAATGTTTATATAAGCAATTTTTAAGACAATCAAGCGACTTTCGTCAAGACGGCAAGTTATGAATGTTGTTTTCTTGTTATGCACGGGCACTTCAAGCTGTTGGGATAAAATGCAAATAAAGAAACCATTATTTGGTTGTCAGCAAAAAGGAAATATTTGAATATTGTTTAATTTCTACAAATTGTATTTTTAACCTCATAAACATGTACGTAAACTATAAAAAGTCGTCATGTGGATGATGAGGATAAGGAGGGGTTGGTTTTGGTGGCTATATTAAAGAATGATATGAGATGTTTTGTTGCAGTTTTTGTTGCCATTATCTTGTCTGAACATCCAGTATCAGGAAGTTCTGTGGTTGTTCTGAGGCCTGTACTACGAAGCTGGATTTTCGCTTAGCCGGCTAAATTCAGGGAAATCTCGGGCTTTCCGGTCCTACGACGCTGGTTCTCTTTTTAGCAGGCTAGATTTCCATGGTAATTTATGCTGAGCGGCAAACCTGCTCCGGAGCAGGTTAGGTGGCAGGCTAAGAGATCAACTCAGTGAAAGCACCGCCTGCTGACCAATCAGAGCTCCGTGTGCGGAGTTTAAAGCGATCAATTCATATTACAGGATAGAGGAAATACAGAAAAACTGCCGTTGCAGGAAAGACTGCCGGCCAAAATCAACTGACTGTGTGAACGTGAAAATTAATAGAATATCCCCTCCCATCTTCAGAGCAATCTGACTATTATAACATTAGCGTTAAGAAAGCTTACTTAAATATCTGTCACGACATAAGTAACCGGATCAGAGTAACATTAAGTACAGTCCGCGGCACTGTGAGTGCAGACGTAGATGTGTCCCATTATCATTCATATCATATCACCAGTGGCGACTGGTCATTAGGGGCAGGTGGGGCACAGCCCCACCTAGTGTCAGCAGAAAGTATTACAAATAATGATTACAAAAATGCAAAAAAATAAATAAAAAAATATATAAAATATATTTTAAGATCATGTTTAATCATCTGATTCGTCTGTACATTGCTGTTTTAGTCTGTGTTCTTCTAATTAGTGTGTCTACAGTCACAGTGTGTGCCTATTGAGCTGTTTAGAGCCATGTGGGACAAAACCTGATTATGCCCCTTCCTCTCGCTGTGAAGTCAACGGTGACTGTAAAAACTACACTGCGCATGCTCAGAGTATTTTGTAATGTAATGTGTGTGGCAAAAAAATAATGACCAGAGGGGCACGGAGTTACCATCCCCACCATACGTCATCTCAAATCATTCAGAGCTGATTGGCTGTAAGTACGTGTGCCGCGAAAAGTGTGGTGCTTGAAGAGGAGACGAGAGAGCTGCAGTGACGCGTCCTAAAACCAGGAAGTAAGCACAAAAAAGCAATGAGATTTCTCCAGAGGATTTTAGAAAATAGCTCGAAATAAGATCTGTGGGAAACGTACCTGTTAGATAAATGCACGTTTTGATTAGCCGGATAACATCCACATGTCTACCCTACTTTTATAATTTTTTTATCATAAATCTATGGATTAGATTTATGATAGACTTTTGAAACTACAAGAAGATAAGGAGGACTTTTACAAAAAAGTAATAGAAATGTTTGTCCAGAAGGATAGGCAAATGGACTTCATCTTCAAGTCAAGGTAAGACTGCCATTTGATTGAAAATGGGATCTTACTAAGAGAGAACAATTCAATATTTAAATGATAAAATTACATTTTTTGGGTATCCTTTTGTTGAACTGTCTGTTTAAAATTAATCGAAGCATCAGACAAAAAAAGCTTTTGAAAATAATATTATATTTTGGTTTAGGTCAAAATATAATATTTGTAAACCTGAAGAGTCAGTGCCAGTGCCTCACCAGCCATGAACCTCACTGCACGTCACTGCAGAAGCTTATATATAGACATCTAAGTTTTTTGTGCCCCACCACTTTTGTACATATAAAAACGCCACTGCATATCACATCATAATGTATCATATATTTCCTTATTTGAGTCAGCTTCTTGAGCCGTATCTGGCCGTGCAACACTCACAGTGTCACATACTGTATGCAGAAGTATTCTTTTAAGCAACACATTAAGTTGACGAAACACTCGAGTCAAATTCTCCTAATTAAAGTCATTAAACCTGTTAATGTACGCATTCAAACACTTTTTCTTTTACCAGCTGTATTCACCTTGCAGGTGCAGCTATGTGGCTTTTATCCTGGGTAAAGTGTTTAAGTCATGGATGTTTAAAGTTTAACTTCTTCATATTTGACTAATATTAAAGTTCACTTTTCATTCAGGAAGTATGACGCTGCGCTGTCAGTACGCTTCTCCGTGTTTGAGATTGGTCGAATGCTCCAAATACCACCCCTTTCATGTGAACGCGCACCTAACTAGATAGGACACGGCGGCTTGAGCGATCCACTTGATATCCAGCGTCGTAGTACAGCTTAGCGCCAGCGCGTATGTTTTGGCTTAGGCCAACCGGCTAACTCCAACATATCCAGGTTAGGTTGAACCAGCTTCGTAGTACAGGCCTCTGGTACAATACCTTGTTTGTTTTTTTTCAGCTACGGTGACTGTATCTTTTACCCCATAAGCTACCCACCTTTCTCTTTTTTGCATCTGTTGAATAGTTTGAGGTTGTCCAAAACTCTCTGCCAGGAAAATAACAGAAAAGGTAGAAACAACAGCCAGAGTCCCCAGTGTGATATAAGGCAGGTACTCAAAAATATTCACCTGTACAAGGAGAAGGGGAAAATAAAAGTGTGTACAGAGCATCATTTTCGTGGTACATGTCCAATAGTTGATTTAATTTTCTTTTGCTTTAGCTATGATTTGGTTGGGCCAGATTGTGTGAGGGCTGTCCTGAGGCCTTGTGCTGTTAGAGGAGGTGAGCCTCAGCACCAGCTGGTTGAGGGGACTCCTCTCTATGTTCTCCTCTTGGCAATGGAGGGCTTTGTAATGGTAGGAGTTGGGATCACTGGTTTTTAGGTGGTTGTAGAATTTGACTGCTCTTTTTTGTATCCTAATTAAAAGGGGGAATTGGCCTAGCTCAGCGCGGCATCCATTGTTGGGGGTGTTCCTGTGGACTCTCAGGATGCTCTTGCATATCTCAGCATGTAGGGTTTCTATTGGGTGTTTGTCCCATTTATCAAAGTCTTGATTTCCAAGGGGACCCCACACTTCGCTACCATACAGTATGATTGGTTCTATTATTGAATTGAATATTTTGAGACAGATTCTAACAGGTAAGACCTTTTGATAGCATAGAAAGCCTTTCTTCCTTTGTCTCTGAGATCATTAATGGCCAGATTGAAATTTCCTGTTGAAGTAATTTTGAGTCCCAAATATGTGTAGCTGTGTGTGTGTAGTGGAGCCCAGTAAGAAGCGGTGTGGGTTTCCCTGACCCCTGGGTCTTTTCTGGAAGACCATAATCCTGGTCTTTTCCAGATTAACTGTCAGGGCCCAGGTCTGACAGAAGCTTTGCAGATGATCCATTTGCTGTTGTAATGCCTCCTTAGATGGAGCTAGCAATATTAGATCATCTGCAAACAGGAGGCATTTAATTTGTGTGTCAGAGAGGGTGAGTCCAGGGATATCGGATTGTTCTAATGATTTAGCCAATTGATCAATATAAATGTTAAATAGGGTGGGGCTGAGACTGCAGCCCTGTTTCACCCCTCTACTTTGGGGGAAGAAATCTGTTTCCATATTGCCAATTTTCACAGCACATTTATTATTTGTATACATTGTTTTAATGATATCATATGTTTTCCCCCCTACACCGTTTTCAATCAACTTCAGGAACAGACCGTTATGCCAAATTGAGTCGAATGCTTTTTTGAAATCTACAAAACAAGAAAAAATCTTCTTATTTTGGTGGACATGTTTATGAATGAGGGTGTGGAGGGTATATATATGGTCTGTAGTCCGATGGTGGGGTGTCAATCCAATCTGACTCTTGCTCAGGACATTATGTTCACTGAGGAAGTCTTGCAGTCGGCTGTTTAGGATGCTGCAGAATAACTTCCCCAGGTTGCTGCTAACACATATGCCTCGGTAATTGTTTGGGTCAAATTTATTTCCATTTTTAAATATTGGTGTGATGATTCCTTTGCTTCAGATGTCAGGGAAATGTCCAATGCTCAGAACCAGGTTGAATAGTTTCAACATGGCAGTGTTGAACTTATGGCTGCTAAATTTCAGCATTTCATTTAAAATGCCATCAGGACCGCTGGCCTTCCTTGGTTGTGGGGCCTGGGTTTTAGCCAGGAGCTCTTCCTCAGTAATGTTATAGTCTAAAGGGTTCTGGTTGTCTTTAACGACTGATTCTAGAATTTGTAGTTTGTTGAGGAGATCATTTTGGGCCGAATTCAGTGTAACGCTACTATACAGGTTTTCAAAGTGTGTTTTCCAAATGTCCCCATTTTGAATAGCCAGTTCTTCCTTGTGTGGTTTGCTGAAAGGGTGCCATTTCTTCCAGAAATGATTTGAGTCAATGGACTCTTCAATGATTTCAAGTTGGTGCTGCGCATGTTGCTCCCTTTTAGTTCTGAGTGTTCTTCTGTATAGTTTCAGTGTTTCCCAATATTGGAGGTGAAGCTCAGGATTGTCAGGTTGTCTGTGTTTTTGATTTGATAAACTTCTGAGGGTTTTTCTCAGATGTCTGCAGTCTGTATCAAACCACTTTTCATTGGCTGACTTTTTTGATTTATGATATTGTGGTTTTTTCAGATTGGATAAATCTGCCACATTGTCAAAGATGCTGTTAATGTCCCATACAGCCTGATTCAGGCCATCATTACTGTGGGGATATGGGGTGGATAGAAAATGGTCTAATTGGGATTGAATTGTTTGATGTCTGATTGCTTTCTGGTAGTCGTCCATGCTATTGTTTGTCCATCTATAAGGTTGTTTTGTATAGTTCAGTTTACTGGGTTCTGCTGCGTGAGGGTCTGTTACTGTCTTTTCAATGTAGAGTGTAATTTTACTATGATCAGATAAGGGTGTTAGGGGGCTGACTCTGAATGCCCTCAGACAGAAGGGGTCGAGGTCTGTGATGCTATAATCTACTGAGCTATTGCCAAGAAGAGAGCTGTGTGTGTCGTGACCAAAGGAGTCCCCTCGAAGCCGACCGTTATATCTCTCTCTCTCTCTATATATATATATTCTGATTGATATATATATATCTGGTAATATCAATAATTATGGTTTTAAGTTCTAAGTGATGGCACGAGAAGTAAGT